TATTCGTTTGCCATTTGGAATGAATTGCAATAGCATGTTTGTAACTGTGTGCTGCTTTCACTTCTTCTATGGTCCAAGTGTTTTGCAAGTGCCGGTAACCGAAGTAGTGTGTTGGGCGTCTTGCAGGCATCGTCACATAGTGCACCTAAGCCATCTCTCCGAACCATCGTCTTCGCGCCTACTTCCGCCTGTTCTTCCACCTCTCCCCACTTCCTCCTCCTCCAATCTCAACTCTCAACTTTTGTTAGAGTCGAAACCATTTACTCCCATTAATAGCATGGAATACATCGCTAAGCACATCCACCACCCACCACCTACCATCTCCATTCCGTTTCCTTTGCAGCCGTACACTTCCCTTCCATATCCTCTGTACGTGCCATGTTACGCTCACCCAGACCTCCGCGGTGACGTTGGGACTTTAGACAGACAGCAGAGACTTCTTCAGCGGTTGGTTGACGACGATGGTGTTAGCGGCAGCAGTGGAGGAGCTGACAACGGGAAGGGTAAGAAGGTGGATGGTGCTGAATTAGAGTGTTGTCTGCTCGACGACCTTTCCTCAAATACGAGTCAATGGTCGTGAGGAGGTGGGGTGGAGGCATTTGTCACCCTTCAGGTTTGGGTTCACTTCCACTCCATTGTCATCGCTCTCATCGTCGTCACGGTCGTCGTTATCGTCATCATTTTCGCTAACTACATGACAGCATTTTCGGAAGGCGAACTGGAGACGACGCGATGGACGCTGGCGACGGAGATTGTGGATTGTGGAGTGTGCAGAAGTTGCGGAGTAGGAAGAGGAGAAAGGAGAGGCGATAGAGGAGGAGTGGGTGTGGTTGAAAGGAGGTGATAGGAAAGGATGTGCAAGTCAAGCTCCACGTCGAAATCCTGTGGTAGGTGGCAAAAGGGATTTGGATTTTACCTGTGAAGTGGAGTCACTTAGGCAGACATATAGCCCGCTAGTTAGTGAACTGGTAGAATTGTTAGGATGGTGGAGAGCGAAAACGAGAAAGCGCAGAAGAATGTTTGTAGAGATGGAGGCTTACTTTATTATGCCAAAGAAAGTATAAGAGGGATTAGTGCTGACTTGGATCAGCCAAATGCTTACCAACTAGTGA